TTCCTGATGGACATTGATATTCGACGACACGCGTTAATATCCGATCGCGCGTTGATATTCGATGACAGGCGTTAATATATGATCGCTCGTTGATATACGATCACATCCGTTGTAAAGTCAATGATACGCGCGAACGTTCAATGATGTTTGTTGATATTCGATGACACGCGTGGCTATCCAAGCGTTAATATTTGACTACACAGACTCATACTCAATAAGACGCCCTGATATCTGATGAAACGCGTTGATATCCGATGACACGCATGGATATTCGAGGAAACGCGTTGATATCCGATGACACGCATGGATGAATATCATCGAATGATGATATACGCGTTGATAGTTGATGAAGCGTGTGCATATTCGATGACACGTATTGACACTGGATGACATGCGTTGATATTTTCCGTGACGCGTTAATATTCGATAATGTACATTGATAGTCGATAAAATTCTCGGATGCGCTGATAATCTCCGACACGCGTTAATATTTGCTGATGGACGTTAATATTCGATGACACGCGTTAATATCCGATCGCACATTGATATTCGATGACGCACGGTGATTTCCGATCACATCCGTTGTAAAGTGATACGCGTGAACATTCGATGATGTTTATTGATATTCGATAATACGCTTTGATATCCAAGCTTTAATATTCGATTACGCATACTCATATTCGATGAGACGCGCTGATATCCGATGACACGCGTTAATATCCGATGACACGCGTTGGTATCCGAGCGTTAATACTCGACTATACATGGTCATATTCGACGAGACACGTTGATATCCGATGAAACCCGTTGATATTCGATGACAGGTGTCGACATTCATGGAGATGCATTCCTATTCGATGATGTGCGCTGACATTCTCCGATACGCGTTGATATTCAATGATTTACGTTAATATTAAATAATTTACTTTGATATTCGATGGCATGCGTTGATATCTAATCGCGCGTTGGTATTCGTTGACGTACGTTTCGGTCACGTACATTGAAACTCAACCATACGCGTTGATATTCGATGATGAGCGTTCATTTTAGACCTTACAATTTTAGTCTTATTTTGAACCTGACTACTTTTTGACCTTATTTTAGGTCTGAACATTTTGAGCCTCATCTTTGCTTGGCTACTAGCTTTCTGATCCTTGAAATTTTGACCCTCACTTTTTTGATTTTTACAATTTAGACTTTTCAAATTTCGATTTTCGTCACAAAAAAGTCCTACTTATTTTGGCCCTGACTTATTTTAGATCGTATTTTGAGCCTGAACATGTTGGGCCTCATTTTTGCCTGATCACCAGCTTTCTGACCCTCCAAATATTGACCCTCACTTCTTTTATTTCAAAATTTATACTTTTCAAATTTTGATCGTCACAAAAAAAGTCCCACTTAGGCATACCTCAAAGCGTTGAAAATTATTCATTTTTTGAATCTCATAAATTTTCTGGCTAATATTTGAACTTGAGTTCAAATTTAGTTGTTTTGTAGTACTTGCTCTTCTATGTATAATTATTGGAATATTCATTCAAAGAAATCATGAATTGAGAAATTTAAAGGTAACGTAGTGGCTCACCACATCAACACAAGGCCACATGAGACTAGAAAGCTGATTGCTTATGGCGAACATGGTGATATTCGAGAAACAGGGGTTTATATTCGTGGACAGGCGTTAATATTCGATGATATGCATTAATTCGATAATACGCGGTAATATTCGATTATGTACATTGATTTTCGACCGCACGCGTTGATATCCGATTGCATACGTTGATATTCACTTACACGCGCGGATATTCGATAACACGCATTGATATTGAATGATATGTATTAGTATTCGATGACACACGTTGATGTTTGATGACACGCGGTGGTAGACAGCCTATGATTGAGTCGACAGTGCACGCGCATTCGCGCATGGAAGATGATATCTTCAACGATATCCAATCCAAATGAAAAACGGTGAATGAGCGATCGTGCGAATAGGTTTTTTGAGATTTTGAGTCTGAGCCTGTATGTCTTTCGAATATAATGACGCGATTTAGTTTCTCGTGTTCTTTCCTGTTGTGCTCAACAACTCATGCTGTTATAGATGGCAAGCGTTCAAGTGGAAAATGGTTGTGTGAGAAGGTCTTATGTGTATTGTCGTCAATGCTAGAATTACCAGCTTACCAGTCCCTGAAGAAATTGTGTAGATGCCGTGAGATGCTTCAAAGTTTGACGACGATGATGCTCAGAAAATAATTGCCGATAATTCACGTTGGATTCGGATTTGAACAAAAGAATGTAGTGATAGCTATATGTCTATCATAGGAGGACGATTTACAGTTCATATGAACTGAGTATGCATACTATTATAACTTGAGAATAAAGCTATTTTGAAGCGGAAACCTTTTTATAAATTGTGAAATGCTCTGCGACATGGGCTGTTATAACGACATTTATGCATGGAGCGGGCTGCAGTCAATCGCAGCCACATTAATCCTCAAGTCATCCGCAACACGTTCCCATTTATTCATTTTATCAATATTAATACTTATTAATTAGTTGAGAGCAATTATTGTGATTGTTATTATCATCCAAAGTAGTTATAATTTCAGTTTACGAAGAAAATACTGCGAGAGGGAGTAGAGTGATGAGAATTAAAATACGATCAACGTCGATGGAACATGGGAAATTGAATGCGGATTGAAAAGCCTTTAATCATTTCTCTAATTTTGTACATTTTTGCCTCTTTCTGGATCAACGCCGGACTATTTCAAACTAGTAAATTGATGACATTCAGCGAATATTAGAGCCGCAAGTAGAGGACACCGAAGCGTTCTTCGAAATTTCTAATGAAGAAGACTGCAACCAGCGAAAATTTATCAAATTCAGTATGCAGTATACCGCACGTCATTCTTTATCGATTACAATAACCGTGAGTCGTGTTGTGTCCGTAACATTAAAAACTAAATTCAAACTAAATTAAACTGGTAGAAAATTTGTATGTAAAATCGGACGTGGACTGTAAGGCGGAGCTGTATATGTAGGGCTGGGCACGATATTCGAACGAGACTTCCTTTTGAAGTTATCGTCTCGGGATTGGTGAACGTGGAATCTTTTGATCCCGTCACAGTCTCAAAAGTAGCAGTAGAGGCTATTCTCGTGATGATTCATAGTTAATTGATCCTATCTCGGTCTCAAGTTTCTCGTGCTTTTTCAATGGAAAGTCTCGGTGTCAGTCTCCTTCATCTCGTCACGGTCTTTTACATATAAAAAACGCGAAAAACTTGGAACCGAGATGAGATAATGTGACTATGAGTTATCACAGGAAGAACCGATACTGCCTCTTTTGAGAGTGTGACGATACCGAAAATTTCCGTAATCACCAAGACCAAGACGATCCTTCCAAAGTGAGGTCTCGTTTGATTCTCGTGCGCAGCCCTAAGTACATGTTTGCTGTTGATTCCGAATCGATCATTCGTCCACAAGCGTATCGTATGTGATCCATAAACGCACTATGGGTAACATAAGACTCGTTTGCGAGCGGAGGAACTATCCTGCTTGATAATCGGATACTTGATGAATCACCTGAACAATAACGATTTTCATATTCTACTAGTATCCTCAACATTTATGCTCATTAATAACATGTCCATTTTTATTCGTACGCTATCCGATTGAAAAAAGATTTTGTGAGGCTAGTGTTATACATAGCGCAAATACGTTACCGATGAGAGGTACATACTACATAGGTTAATGGCGGTTATGGTATCGAGCATAGATAGGAGCGGTTTGCATAGTGCCTAGTTACTATGCAGAGCAGGGAATATTAAATAGATGTTCGATTCAGTGTTGATCTTACCTTGAACAAGTTCCAGTGTTAAAGTACCACTAAATTAAATTCGAATGAAGTACGAATATAACAAGCTTGTACAATTATTCCGACTGCTTGTATTCATCTCAAAAGTTACTTCAGACCAGGTTCATTTGAAATTTCCAATGATTTCTAAAATAGAACAACATTTGAGGCTGGAATGAGTAATGGTGAGTCCAGTAAAATTGCTGATGATGATGATACAAATTTGTTGTCACTTACTGATTGTTTATTTCCGTTACGACATGCAATGGATGCCTTTCGAAACTGACGATCGTGATGACCGTTCTTCTTGCTATTTGGGATTCATGTCCCTCTAAGTCATGTATATAATTTTATGGGTTATAATAGAGTGGCATACAGTTGACTTGAATCAGAAGTTTCGAGTCGCCCCAGGCAGACTGAAATTGCATTAAGCAGTCTGGAATCGCTTGAAGCAGATGTGAATCGCCTCAAGCTGGCAGTAGTCACATAAAGTAGCCTAGAGTCGCCTAAGGCAGACTGAAATTGCACTGAGCAGTGTGGAATCGCTTGAAGCAGATGTGAATTGCCTTAAGCTGGCAATAGTCACATAAAGTAGCCTAGAGTCGCCTAAGGCAGACTGAAATTGCATTAAGCAGTCTGGAATCGCTTGAAGCAGGTGTGAATCGCCTCAAGCTGGCAGTAGTCACATAAAGTATCCTAGAGTCGCCTAACGCGGACTAGAGTTACATGGAGTTTAGGTGTTACCTATAGCAGTTGGGAGTCGTCTAAAGCGGACTGAAATCGCATAAAGCAGACTTTGTCAGACTTGATAGGTCGTTTTAGAGGTTTTTTAGATGTACAGTACGTCACTGGGCAAACGCTCATTTTTGTAATAATTCTTCTCATACTTTTTCGAACTTTTTGGCTGTAAGTTCATAGAGTGACGGGCTTAGCAGCGTAAACTAATTGAGAGCCTGGAAACTTGATGAGAAAATATAATCCTTTGAGCTGTGATACCGGAACAACATATGGTGCAATGTGTGAAGTTGTTTGCAGTTCATGTATAAAATTGACCATAATTTCATCATCCATTCTAGGATTCTGAATTTTGAATGGGTACGACGTTACACATTTGTTTATAATGACCAAAGTTTGAACATTATTCTTGCAGGCCTCACAAAGACTATCATGGCATGAACAGTTCGAAACTCGTAAGAATGTTTCAATGTACCCAATACGTCTGTTGTCTTCTTCAATGAATTCCACGCAAGTAGAGTTTGTTTTCATTCCCCTCGTATAAGATTTCGCCATATAAACAGTTCCCTCTTGTAGAAGTCGACTGAACTCGTAAGTAGATGTAGCCTCGACCCCATGTATTTCCAAAGCTTCACGGATCGAAGCAGGGACGCTCGTCATTTTTCGGGTTTTACCTATAATGGCAGTTCCATTCCCAATGGGTGATAATTTGTATCGATGGGTACCCTTTTTCTCGACCTTGTCACAAAAGATGGAAGCATTACTATCTGGTCTCAAGTATTTTTCTTTTAAAGAAGCCAGTTGTACATAGGAGGAAACAGCTCTGCATATTTGCTGTTGTGGATCTCTCGTAGCATGTAAATATTTCTTCAATATTCCGTTCATATTTTCGAAGGGAAAGCATGAAGTTACGCTCAATGGTCCAAAATTATGCACAATCTGCCAAAGGTGTGGTAATCCATGAAGATTTGCCGTCATGAATCTGTATGTATATAATCGTTCAAATTTATGTAAATAACCATCAATTAGATCTTTGCCTTGTTGGACCTCCAGTGGAGATATGTGATCTTTATAAAAAAGATATAATCCAAAGACCAGTTGTTGATGATGGGAGAAATATTGATCAGACATGATGCCATCCAGTACTGGCAAAGAATATATCAGAAGCCACGTGATAAGCTCTGAAGCCTTCCAGTCTGCGAGATCTTTAATTGTTCTTGGCATTCTTTTGACGAAAGAGGGTGGTGTAATGGAGCACAGACGATCGTTAACGGTTTGAAAATGTTGAAAAAGGGATGCCGCATGATGTTTGAAATCTCTATCAAACCAAACGGTCAGAAGCATTTTAGCAATGCCTGAAATCATGTGCATTGAGTCAAGAACCGTGGATTCGATGTAATTTTTGGTAAATAATGCCAAAGCCGATATTCCCTTGACACCGTAAATTGAAACCCCACGGACAGTCGCTTCTCTTGCATATCGTTTGGTTTGCTGTAAGTTTCTTTCCTGAAAAGCGTCTACTTGCGTATATACGCAGTGATTTCCTATTTTCTTGATTCGCGCCAGACACTTGTGACATCCGAATTTGCCGTTAAAATGTGACATATTTAAGAAAATTGCACTCGCAGGTAAATCGCAGGTGCCGCACGTTATCACACCTTTAATCTTGAGTTTTCCAGTAAGATCATGAACGTACACTGAGATTCCGTTGTACACATTCGCCATGACCGTCTTTAAATGAACCATGAATGTATTCCCTTTTGGTTTACCCGGTCCGAACCATAGGCCCGCCATAATAATATTTTCTGGTTTGTTTCGTTCGCTACGTGACAGTTCATTGATTTTCAAGAAAAAAGGCCAGATATTGAATTTTGACGAATTGAACAAGTCCACTCCATCAGAATTCCACATGAACGATATATTATCTTGTGAGTTCAAGTCAATTCCTTCTTCACCTGCACAATGTACTCTTGTAGTCTGCGCCATCATAAATATCGTCCAAATCATCTTCATTTTCTTTGGTTCGATTGAAGCGATGAGACAGTTTGTTGTAGAAGCCAGGACGTTTGTACAGTTCTTCTAACTGAGCCATTATTGGGAATTCGATAAAGTAGCATGTTGGTGCCTCCATACATTTACTACATTTTGCATCTCCATCTGGTAATGGTTCCCTGCATTCTCCACAATAATAATGTTTTTTGAGAATGTTGCTTGGATCTTTTAGCCATTTTTTAAAGAAGTATAGAGTTTTGATGCATTTGTTCACAACTGGGCAATGTGCTGCAATCAATAACAGCAAATCACCCAGGGCTGAATCTGACAAATTATGCCTCAAAAAAAATTGTAGTATCATGATAACACTCTCAGCAACAGTTAGGGGAGCGCCTGAATAAAGAGGCTCCTGATGGTATCCCTCGTCTTCCGCGTCAGGATTCAAAAAATCATCATCGGAATCTGTCTCTTCGGCCTGTTCATCCCCTGAGCTTTCGCTGGGAATAGGTCCTACGTCAAACTCTGGAAAACTCACTTCTTCTCTTTTATCCTCAGAGCTATAAAGGCCGTCGAGAAGATGCACCTCGTCGGTATCTTGCTCTCCTACAAAATCGAAATTTTCCCAACAATTAAGATTGCGTCAGAAACCAGAGATGGATTCTGATTTACAACGGTGGATCGGAATTGGCGAATCGCACGGGTAAAATATAATGGAATGAGTACAGTAGAATAAAATTGAATAGATATCCTAGGGGTCAAATGCTAAATCACGATCGAGCATAAGAATTGTCGTTGATTGTTTAGTATCAATCATTGAACTACAACCGAAGTGTCAACGAAAAAATTATCGAAAACCTGAGACGGAAACCCTATTTCATGAAGCCTTCATGTTCTCTAAATAAGATTTGTCTTATGAAAATAGGATTTGGGGACTATACCTAATGCAGGACAATCTTGATCACTCGAGGGCTTGCAAACATCACTCTCATTCTCATCTACCATATTGACTTCATTCTCACTCGCCATCTCCCACTCGTCTTTACTCTCGTTGTCTGCCTCGCTATTGCTCTCTCTTTCATTTTTACTGTCGTCGCAGTATTCCAAATCAAAATCGAAACGCCTTCGTTTCGCTTCAAAGCGTTGTTTCGATCTCTCAGAATATTCTGAGCCCGGGCGATGACGAGGCATTTTCTAGTAAATCAATTCACTTGACTTCAACT